CGGCCGGCGAGGCCACGCCCACAGGCGCTGGAGAGCGGCGGGGAGGCCACGCCCCCTTCGCTGCGTGGCCACGCCCACCCCTGGTTTAGGCCACGCCCCCGCGGCTATCGCGGTGGCGACTCCCGGAACGGGGGTCTCGGGGCGGGGGTCCCCAGAGGGTGGCGGTGTCCGCAGAGGGTGGCGGTGTCCCCTGGGGACCCGCGATGTCCCCCCCAATGACAAAGATTTGGGGGGGCGGGGGTGACCGGAGTTTTTTTGGGTGGAGGGGGGGGCTGCGACTACCCCCCCCAAATCCGCCCGAGATGGGTTTGGGGGTCCCTGCACGCGCTGGGAGCTCCGGCACGGGGGGCAGGGACCCTCGGGTTGGGGTGACACGGACGCGAGGGTGACACTGGTGGGTGACAGGGACGCGAGGGTGACACTGGTGGGTGACAGGGACGCGAGGGTGTCGCTCGTGGTTGCTCGGCAGCCCGTGCACGGTGATGATGATGATGGTGATGATGATGATGGTGATGATGAGCTGGGGACATCACAGTCACACCCTCGCCCCAGTGCCACCAGCTGGGGACAGCGCTGTCCCCACACCAAGGCACCCCGCAGGCACGGCAGCGACGGCCACCACCGGGGGGGTGACAGTGCCACCCCGGTGCCACCCGCGAGCCCACCCAGCCCCTTCCAGTCGCCACATCGCGGGTGGTTGGGGGTGCCGGGCGGTGTCACCGCTGTCCCCGGGCCGTGTCACCGCTGTGCCCGGGTGGTGTCACCACTGTCCCCGGGCTCTTGTGGGTCCCGGGCGGTGTCACCGCTGTGCCCGGGCGGTGTCACCACTGTCCCCGGGCTGTTGGGGGTCCCGGGCGGTGTCGCCGCTGTCCCCGGGCGGTGTCGCCGCCGTCCCCCTGCGGTGTCACCGCTGTCCCCGGGCTGTTGGGGGTCCCGGGCGGTGTCACCGCTGTCCCCGGGCGGTGTCACCGCCGTCCCCGGCCGCTCTGACCCGTGTCCCCCGCAGGAGTGCAGCGCCCTGGGGGACATGCCCGGCTCCTTCGTGCCCACGGTGACGGCCATCACCACCAGCCAGGACCTGCAGTGGCTGGTGCAGCCCACGCTCATCTCCTCGGTGGCCCCGGGGGCTCCCATGGCTCAGCCGCCCCCCCTCGACCCCTACGACCTCCCCGGGCCCAGCTACTCCACCCCCGGCCTGGGCGCCTTCGCGGGACCCCCGGCCCCGACCCCCGCCCGGGCCCCCCGCGCCCGCCCCCGGCGCAGCCGCGAGGAGACGGTGAGACCTTGGGGACAGCGGGGGTGGTGGCACTTCGGGGACCTGACGGGGGTGGTGGCACTTCGGGGACCTGACAGGGGCTCGGGGGGTTTGGGGGTGTCGTAAGTGACAGGAGCCTGAGGGACAGCCCAGGTGGTGGCACCTTGGGGACATCATGGCACCTTGGGGACATCATGAGCGGCAGGAGCCTGAGGGACAGCCCAGGTGGTGGCACCTTGGGGACATCATGAGCGGCAGGAACTTAAGGGACAGCCCAGGTGGTGACACCTTGGGGACACTACACTTGGTGACATCCCCACCACGCTCACCTGTAGCGAGGAGAGGGGTTTTGGGGACACAGTGGGGTTTTGGGGACAGTCAGAGGGGTTTTGGGGACACAGGCAGTGAGGTTTTGGGGACACAGCGGGGTTTTGGGGACAGACAGAGGGGTTTTGGGGACACAGTGAAGTTTTGGGGACACAGACAGAGGGGGTTTGGGGACACAGTGAAGTTTTGGGGACACAGACAGAGGGGGTTTGGGGACACAGTGAAGTTTTGGGGACACAGACAGAGGGGGTTTGGGGACACAGTGAAGTTTTGGGGACACAGACAGAGGGGGTTTGGGGACACAGTGAAGTTTTGGGGACACAGACAGAGGGGGTTTGGGGACACAGTGAAGTTTTGGGGACACAGACAGAGGGGGTTTGGGGACACAGTGAAGTTTTGGGGACACAGACAGAGGGGGTTTGGGGACACAGTGAAGTTTTGGGGACACAGACAGAGGGGGTTTGGGGACACAGACAGAGGGGTTTTGGGGACACAGTGAAGTTTTGGGGACACAGACAGAGGGGTTTTGGGGACACAGACAGAGGTGTTTTGGGGACACAGACAGAGGGGTTTTGGGGACACAGACAGAGGGGTTTTGGGGACACAGAGGGGTTTTGGGGACACAGACAGAGGTGTTTTGGGGACAGACAGCGGGGTTTTGGGGACACAGCGGGCGGCGGCGGGAGCTCGGGGGGTGGCAGCGGGTGGCAGCGGGTGACAGAGGGTGACAGAGGGTGACAGTCCCGTCCGTGTGGCAGCTGACGCCGGAGGAGGAGGAGAAGCGCCGCGTGCGGCGGGAGAGGAACAAACTGGCGGCGGCCAAATGTCGCAACCGGCGCCGGGAGCTGACGGACCGGCTGCAGGCGGTGAGTGCGGGGACACGGGGACACCGCGGGGGTGGCCTTGTCCCCAAGGGGCGGGCGATGCTCCGGTGTGAAGCGGATGCGTCCCCGGAGGGAGCTGGGGACACACGGGTGCCCCCATGGAGGGGGTGGTGGTGGCGATGTCCTCGGAGCTGGGGACATGTGGCAGGGAGTTGGGGACATCAGGTGGGGACAGCGGTGAGGAGGAGGAGGATGAGGAGGATGAGGAGGAAGTCGCTGCTCCTCTCAGAGCTGGGCGCAGCGGTGTCCCCAGCACCATGTAAGGGACAATGACATCCCTGGCGACATCAGGGCTCGTTTGCCCTCGGGGCCGCTGGGGGAGGTGGCGATGTCCCCAGGACCTGGGGACCTCACAGGGGTGGTGGCAGCGCAGAGAATCGACCGTGTGTCCCCAGGAGCTGGGGACACCAGAGGGGACAGAGTGACGCCCGGTAGTGACAGAGAGGGACAATGCCACCCCTGAGAGCTGGGGACAAGGGAGGGGACAGCTGGACACCCAGAGGTGTCGCCAGGCTTGGGGACATCCAAGGAGGAGGAGGAGGACGATGCCCTCCATGGGAATAGCGGACACTCAGGGATGTCCCCTGACACGGGGACAACACAGGGGACACACGGACACTTGGGGACTCTGGAGGAGCCTGCGGGATGTCCCCATGTTTGGGGACATCCGAGGGGACACCCAGGAGCGCTGCAGCAGCAGCAGGACGGACAGACAGACACTCAGGGACACCAGAGGGCGACAACGCCGCGCTCAGCCTTGGGGACACCGTGGGCTCACGGGGACACTTGGGGACATCCCCGAGCCCCCGGGGCGGGGGCGGGGGGGGGGGTGGGTGGCAGCGCCACGGTGTGTGACAGAGGTGTCCCCGCAGGAGACGGACCAGCTGGAGGAGGAGAAGGCGGAGCTGGAGTCCGAGATCGCGGAGCTGCGCAAGGAGAAGGAGCGCCTGGAATTCGTGCTGGTGGCCCACGCGCCCGCCTGCAAGGTCCCCTTCGAGGACATCGGCGCCGTGGGTGCCGGCCCCGCCGAGGTGAGCAGCCCGGGCAAGGCGGGGACCGTCGCTTTCCTGCCCCCGGCGCCGTTCCAGGGCCCGCAGGGTCCCTTCCCCGGCTGCTGCCTCCCGCCCGGGGTCCCCGCGGGACCCCCTAACGCGACCCCCGCGTTTGTGTTCACCCACCCAGAGGGAGCCACGTGTGGAGCCTCGCACCAGCGGAGCAGCAGCAGCGACCAGTCCTCGGACTCCTTGAATTCTCCCTCGCTCCTCGCGTTGTGAACGGGGTGTCCCCCCCTCTGCCCCAGGCCCACCTCCCCCTCTCGAGCCCCCCAAAAACGGGCACCTCCTCCCTGCCCCCGCCGCGCCTCGGGGCTGGGCTTTGCCCGCTCCGCTTTTTTGGGTTTTTTTTCCGGCTCCAGTGGGGTTTTTTTTCTCCTTTAGGGAGGTCGGGAGGGGTTTGGGTTTTTTTTTTTGGGGGGGGGGCGTTTTGGCGCCTGGAGGTGGTGGCCGTGATGAGGCTCCAGCGTTCCCGTGGCTGTTCGGAGGTGTCTGCTCCCGGTCCCCGTCACCCCGTGGGGGTTCGTCCAGGATCTTTGTCCCTCTGGAGATGTCCCTGCCCCGTCCCCAGCACCCGGAGAAGGTTCTGTGTCACCTCAGAGGTGTCCGTCCCTCATTTCACGGGGTTCACCCCGGATCTCCGCCCATCTGGAGATGTCCCCGTCCCGTCCCCAGCGCCCGGAGAAGCCTCTCGTGGTGTCCCTGTCACCTCAGAGGTGTCCGTCCCTCATTTCACGGGATTCATCCCGGATCTCCGTCCCTCTGGAGATGTCCCTGCCCCGTCCCCAGCACCCGGAGAAGGTTCTGTGTCACCTCGGAGGTGTCCGTCCCTCATTTCACGGGGTTCATCCGGCGTCTCCACCCCTCTGGAGGTGTCCCTGCCCCACCTCCATCCCCCCGGGAAGGTCTTTTTGTCCTCTCCGTCACATTTCGAGGTCCCTGTCCTCGATCCCCGCCATCCTGTGGCACTTCGGGCAGAGTCTGCGTCCCTTTGGTGACGTCCCTGTGCGATTCCCGCCACCCGGAGAAGGTCTCCGTGGTGTCCCTGTCACCCTGGAGGTGTCTGTCCCCCGTCCAGGGGGTTCCTGCCGCATCTCCATCCCTTTGGAGATGTCCCAGCCTGGTCCTGGCGGCACCTGTGACACCTGAGGTGTCCCCAGTCCCCCGCTGAAGGTCCCTGTGCCCGATCCCGGATCCCCAGGAGGGTTCTGGTGCCATCGCCACCCCTTTGGGGTCCCCAGAAGGTCCCTGCGTCATTTCTGTCCCACTGGAGACGTCCCGTGTCCCCCTCCCCAGCGCTCCGAGGGGCTCCACGGGCCGTCTCTTCCCCCTCCAGGTGTCCCTGTGGGGTCTCCCCCCTCTCGGAGGTGCCACTTTGTCACCTCCATGTCCCCACCTCGGGGGTCCCTGGGCCTCTCCAGGTGACCCCTCCAGGTCACCTCCTCCTCTTTGGAGCTGTGTCACCTCCGGGACCCCCCCGCGTGCCGTCCCCGTCCCCCTCCAGGGTCACCCCTCCAGGTGACCCCCTCCTCCAGGTGACCCCTCCTCCAGGTGACACCTCCAGGTGGGCTCCCATCCCGCCTGTCC